GGTCCCTGCCAATCTCCCAATCAATGGCGAGAAGTGCTTGAACCAATAGTTAGGTCCCTGTGTGTAGACTTGGCCTCCGTCGTTGCCGGGTGTTTTCCCCAAACATTCGACACTGATAATCACGTAGGAACTCGGGTCGTTGCGTCGCGAAGTAAACGCAGCCAAATTTCCGAAGATATAGACCCGCTTGCTGCCCATGCGCTTCTTGACCTTGAATTTCTGTTCCTTGATACCCGGCCAGTTCTCGTTCATCGAATTGACCTGCACGTAGGCATTGCCGAGTTTGTCATCGTGGTCTGCCGCATCCTCATCAAACACGACGCACTTGAGCTCAAAGCCCGACGCAGGCACGTTCGCAACGACCCACTCACTGTTCCAAACAGGATCCAGATTCTTGCGCACGGTGGGAGTGCGAAACGTCAACCCCGGATCTTGCTTATGGCGCTGCGGCAAGTTAACCGATAAATGCGCAGCGATGTACGGATCCGAAGAAAAGGAGCCGAAATCCGCAAAAGGCAGGTTGTCGCCGCGATGGAAGGTAAAGCGCAAGGTGTACCCGGGCGGCGCACGCGGAATAGGCGTATTATCGAAGCCTCCTGCCGGTTGATGGTCGCTGCCGGAAGTATCGGCACCAGAACCAGAACCACCAGCAGCAGACTCGTCGCCTGGTGGAGAAGAACCTTTTTTCATAACGACTGTTTGATCATGGAGTTCATCGGCGTGGTCGACAAGTTTAGGAGCAATTTTGTCGCCTTGATGACGGGGGCGCACCCGGAGATGGGTGGTGGCGTCTTCTTCCATGGTGGAATTGTTGCTGCCTGCCACAGCAGCCGATGCGGGAGGGCTCGGGGAATGGAGGGGACATGGATTTAATTAACAGGAGGGAAAAAAAAAAAAAAAAAAAAAAAAAAAAGAGAGAGAAAGAGGAGAAAAGAGTCAGAAGAATAAGAGGAGAATAAGAATAAGTAAAAATGTGATAATGATAACTCAAAAGTCCGGTCCAAAGTCAAGGGAAATAACCATCACCGTCGCTAGTATCGGAGGTAAGGCTCACTTGACCCTACTGGGCTGAATCCCCTCCACGCGGGCCAAGAAAGGCCAAGCTTTTGCCGATCGCCATCCGAGGAACCCTTAACGGTGTCAGGGGATGATAACACTACATAATACATAGTAACTGTGATGCGAGATAGAAGTACTCCGTACAGGAATCGTTTGTATTCTTGAACTGCTCTTGATAACATTAAAGAAATCATTGTCGAGGTATCATTAGATGGCGTTGAGATCTCGCCGAGATAGTAAAGAATAAAAAGAAAGCGACAAATAGAAGCTTGATCCCGCAAGCAATAATAATATCCATAGACGTCCGGAATATGACGGATAGATAAAAGGCAAGATGCTGTACTAGTATCCCTGCAGATGAGGAAGATCAAGCTCCCCGGAAGAGGAACTGCATGTCCTCGGGAGTCAACTTCTCTAGTGCATCACCCTGGTCCTTATTAATCGTTCCGTTGATCAGATTGGCCTTCTTTTCCTGGAGCAGGACAATCCTAGACTCCACAGAATCCTCAATGCACAGCCGGGTGATCACACAGGGTCGTCGTTGACCAATGCGGTGGCATCGATCGGCACTCTGCCATTCAGCTGCAGGGTTCCACCATCTAAACGAGGACCGTCAATTAGCGTGGCGTTTATACCAGAATGGAAGAAGTGAAACTTACGGATCAACGATAAACACCCTAGATGCCTCAGTCAAGTTCAGCGCAACTCCTCCGGCTTTCAAGGAGACCAAGAACACCTCAACATCGACGTTCTTCATGAAGTAGTCGATGGAACTCTGTCGCTGAGCTGGTGTCATACTACCGTCCAGCATGACAGTATTGAAGCCAGCCCGACGCAAACGCCATTCGACCAGTTGCAGCATCGAGGTAAACTGGGAGAACACAATGGACTTCTGGGTCTGTTTCTTGCTCCTCAGTTTGTAAAGCTCATAGACAAGCATTTCAATCTTGGTCGAAGAGGTCCAGTCCTCCATGCGAATCCGGTTGACAATCGAGTTCTTCTTGACATGCTCCTCCTCTTGCTCAATATCCGGCTGCTCAAAGTCAATCGAGAGCGGGATGTGGCAACGGGGACAATCAACAATAGTATCGGAATCAAATGACTTGATATAATCCTTTGCACATCGACGACAGAAATCGTGGCGACAGCGAGACCGAATGGCTTCCTCGGCCGGTTCATCACAGATACAACATACGAGAACATTCTGTCCAGTCTGCGCATGCTTCTTCAGGATGAGGTCCGGATGATTAGCAACCTGACGCATTTGCATGATAAGACCAAAGATGTTGGCGTAGTTGTTCAACATGACACCTTGGCTCACATAGGTATCAAATCGTCGAGTCGAGTTGGTCATGATACTCTGAGAAAAGTCACGTTCAATCTCGCCGAAGAACTCGTTGTGCAGGATGACACTACATGCAACTGTTAACAGATATTCAACAAAAAAGCCCAGACAATCCAGAATACTAACCGTTTAGGCGGAAGCTCCATTGCCGCCGTGTGATCTCGCTTCACACGCCTAAGCATGATTCTGTCGGTAATCAGGCGAAGCTTGCCCAAAGCCTCCTTTCGAGCGTCGGTGCTGTTCATTTCGGTAACTGATCTCGTTAGAATAGAACAGGTAACATGCATGTCGTGCTTACTTGGGTTAAGAATCTCCTGGTTGAAAACAGAGACATGGTCGAACCCTCTGTCATAGATGTCAAATCTTTTGAAATATGGGGGAGATTGAGAATAAACCATACCTGTGAGTGCAAGAGGTACACTTTTTGTCGCGATCCTGAGACCAATGCAGGGATCGGCAGTCACACACTTTACAGAAGTAACACGCAAATGGCTGGACTTCGAGGAAACGCAAAAGCGAGAAGAATTCCCCGATCCTATTCTGCACCGGTGTCCCCGAAAGGCACCACTTGTAGGTGGCTTTCAACGCGAAGCAAGCACGGGCGACACTGGTAGTACGTTGTTTGATACTATGCGCTTCGTCAAGGATGAGACGATGGTAATTGATGGAATGGATAACGCCTTCAAAATTAGCATGACTGACTTCCGTTTAGAAGTACCGAGATGTAGTCCACTCACTATCTTCTTTGACAATTCCATCAGCGCGAGCCCACCCTTTCGATTCCTTCCGATAAATCGATTCAAGTCCAGAATCTATCTCAGGAGTCAGAACTATTCCTTTGAACCGTTACTCGAGAATAGAGGTCCATACAAGATATCATAATAACGTCGTATTTCATAAGGTCCTTCTTTTTCAAAGACTTGACCTTGGAGTTCGAGTTGTGGTAGACAAGAACCTTTAGTTGGCCGCTGGTGTATTCCTGCAGCAAGGTTAGGGCTGTTTCGAGACCAACACCGTTAGATAGGAACAAACCTGAATTTCAGACTGCCACTGCATAAGAGCCACAGGAGGAACAGCAACAAGGGAAGGTTTTCCAACGGGGTAGTCCGACATCAGCAGGGAGACTGCCTGTATTGTCTTCCCCATGCCCATCTCATCACCCAGCAGACCGCCCTTGTATTCAGACTTTTCTTGCTGCATCATCCAGTTCAAACCCTCAAGCTGGAATGACTTCAATGTTCTAGATATACCGGGGGGCTGTTTGGCTGGCACTGGTGTGATTGGTGGTGTCTTCTTCAGTTTATCCCACATTGTCTTAATAGACGGGTGCTGGCCTTCGAGCTTCTTCCGTTCCCTCCATGCCTACATAGGAGATCAACAACGGGATCTGAATCTGAGAGAAGGATTTTCCACTTACACGGTTACTCATCCAGAATGGCTTACCGACAGTTGAAACCCGCGTTCCTTTGCGAGACCGTGGGTTTCTTGCGTTAACATTCCTCGCAGGCGGAGGCGGCGGCGGTACCTCCTCTTCCGACATAAACATCAATTCATCTTCGCTGTCAAGCATGTCACTGTCAAGCATGTCATCCTCAGTATCAGGCCCGAGAACTATTCGCGGACCGCTATAAATCTTCTTGCCATTCTTATCACGCGGCCGCACTTTTTCGTACTCCGAGTCAGGGCTCTCAAACCCCGAAGTTCCATACTCTGTAATAGCATCCTCGTCACTCACATCTTCGCTAGGAGAAAGCTTCTGTCGTTTCGGGTTGATTGCCCTGTACTCCTCAGCTTGCAAGGCACGAGCCAGAGCTTCATCCATGTCTTCTTTGGTGAAGCCCGACGGACCTCTCTTTCGCCCTCTCTGAGTACCAAGAGACATTGTGCTGGAGCGCAGCTCCGCGGCACGAGCAGAAGCACTGATTCTCTTATTCGGTCTATTCCCATCAGATTCAACGGGCGTGACAGCGACGCTGGTCGCCGGAGTACTGCCTGAACCATTCTCGACTGACGAGCGTGACGAAGAGGTATGCGAGGCTGATAGATTCTTCACTGGGACAGCAACTTGGAGCGAGTGATTGCGACTCGGGCCAGCAACTTGGGTATTATTTGCGTCGGCATTGGTTCGAGAATGGGCCAGTCTCGCGGACGTGCGTCTAGCAGGAGGCGTATTATTTGAGGACGTATCATTTGACGGAGCTGGATCTTTATCAAGGACAACCCCGTTAGCATTTAGGAATATCCAAATGGCAGAAGATAGCCTGGTTGATAAGTCTCCTACCAGTCTTCACTACCACAGCGGCCCTGCGTCCCATAATGGCAGTAAAATATGCACGTTGACTTGAAGAAGCTGTCTAAATTCTATACAGAGTAAATTATTCGACATCCAAATGCCAAATTCAATGTGCTTGTTATGAATGGCGGACAGAAGATGGCCAGACAGTTGGTCAACAGGAAGAAGTCGGAGAACCGGGCGAACGAGGCGAACGAGGCGACAGGTCCATTGGTAAGGGATGAAAAACTCTTCACGGCGCCTGCTGCCTGATCCAGCAACTCAAATCTATTGTCTATTCAGTAAACATCAAGTCATCTACCGAGCAGTTATATATATATAAATATTTTTTTTCGTGGTACATCTTTCTCTTGTCTTGCCACTGGACACGAACCGATAAGAGCCCGTATCACCGTATCGCCGCAGGGTCGCGTTAATTGAAACGCGAAATCATCACGGGTTCCTGTGACACTGCGAGCTGCTGCAGGGTACCTTGTCAGGTCATTTTGAGCTTTTTTCTTCTATTTATACAGTTAGACTTACGAGGGCAATTACTGATTCTTCAATATGTGAGTTGGAAAAAATTGTGACTTTTTGTTATCCATATGGCTAAACTCTTCTACAGGCGCAGGAATCGAATCCGTGGGCCGTGAGTATCTAATTTGTACAGCTCCTGCAGCAGCCAAATCCAGTCAGCTAACAACAACTGCAGACAATCTGCACTGACAGATTTCCTGGCTGTGAGTTTTGATTTGATCTCCTTAATAAATCCTCGCTAACATCTGTGATTCCGACTAGTCCAACAACATCTCCGCTCATCAGATTCATCAAGATTACCGAAGACGTGTACGAGAAGCAGAGGAACGAGAAGCCACCGAACAAGAGACCGCTGAACAGGAGGAATCACAACATGAAGCTGACGACGACTTTGAAGAAACACACGCAGGCAAATCGCCCGAACAGAAGAAGAAGCGCAAGCGAAAGGAGGCGACTACGCTGGCAAAGATCAAGCAGAGCAAAGAGTTTACCCGGCGTAAATCTCGGCGCTTGATGGACGTGGCCGATGACGATAGTGATGAGGAGGATGATGATGATGATGATATGATTGCAAAAGATATGATCGATGAGAAGTCTCGGCCGATGCCGGGGCAGCTTGAGAACTGTGAAAAATGTGGGAAACGTTTCACGGTGACTCCATACAGCAGGGCGGGCCCAAATGGAGGATTACTTTGTGCGAAGTGCTCGAAAGAAGTCGCAGATGAGGGGAAGAAAGCTGTACCGAAGAAACGCGGGCCCAGGAGTGGCCGTCGGCAAGTTCAAAGTAACTTGCTGGATGGAATTATCCAGTACGGCTCAATGAGCTTGGTGGAGATGTGCACGAAGGTATGTCAATGTCTTCTTGGATCATGGCAGGTATGTTGACAGTCTGTCATAGAAAGTTGTCGAGAATATCGACGATGTGGAAGAGTTTGGAGATTTGCCCTCGCCATTGCTCCATCGTCTCAGTCAGATTTTGTCCAAAAGACGTGTACTCACTTCGAGGACTCTGGATTTCTTCTTACGACCTGAGCTGCATTCTATTGACATTTATGATTGCGCCAGTGAGTATAGTCTATTCGTTTCTCTGACTCAGGTCTAACTGTTTTGTAGAGCTCGAAACGGATGACTTTCAAAAGATATTCGCATACATGCCATCTTTGACACAAGTTAATCTCCGGTATGCGGGGCAATTGAAAGACAGGGTGTTGGAGTACATGATGGGCCAGAACCCGCAGATCAAGCATTTGCAGTTTGATGCAGTCAATCTTGTCACCGATGCATGCTGGCGGCAAGTGTTCCAGAAGTATGGACCGCAACTGGAGAGTGTGAAGCTATCTAATCTCGACTACTCTTTTGACGATGAAACTGTCGAAGAGCTGTGCAAGCACTGCACCGGACTGCGACGCTTGAAACTCACGCAATGTTGGAAAACTGGGGACAGATCGCTTAAAGCGATTGCAGGACTAAATTCATTGGAGCACTTGTCGCTCAACTTTGTTGAAGAAACCAGTAAAGAGGAATTGGGAGACACCATTCTCAATGTCGGATCGAACCTGCAGACCTTGTCTTTGGACGGGTTTCATCACGCGGATGACCATGTGCTCGGACTTGTCCATTCGATGTGCCATTCGCTCGTCAAATTTCGTCTCTCCGATAACGCCGTGTGTACAGATCAGGCCTATGCACAACTGTTCACTGGTTGGCAGAACCCTCCCCTGGAGTATGTGGATCTCTCGTCGACACGCGACGTGGATTACTCCAACCCAGACGGACCGGAGGAACCGATTGGCCTGGCATCTCAGGGGTTCGTCGCTCTGATGGACCATTCGAGGTCCAAGATCCAGAAGTTGAACATTGCATCGTGTCGTCACGTGTCGCGCGAGGCATTCGAGGAGGTATTTTCTGAGGGTAAGAAATACCCACACCTGACAGAGCTGGATGTCTCATTCAACACGGTCATGGACGACTTCCTGATCGGCAGCATCTTCCGATGCTGTCCGGCCATTAAGAAGTTGGTCGCTTTCGCTTGCTTCAACGTTCGCGACGTCCGGGTTCCTGCAGGGGTTGCCTTGATTGGAGGTTTGAGAGCACAGGGCCCTATCGTGGTGGAAGGCGGGTATCAGAAATAAGCTGTTATACCCAATATTAACGTGCGACACCGGTCTACAGAGTATGGAGCGGTCCGACTTCTTGAGCGTATTTTGCTTCCAATCCTTCAACTACAATAATTATCATGAATATGGCGTATGGGTATATCCATCTGAATCAAATTTTTTTTTTTTTTTTTTTTTTTTTTTTTTTTGCGTTCTTTTTCATCATAGTAGCAAGACTCTAGTCGCTTACGGTCAGTGTATACGGAGTAGACACAGCGACTAATGGTGGTTAATGAGACATCAGGCCAATGGAGGCCCGAGATATGGTAGATCATACGATTTCCGTATGAATTGAATGAACTGATGCATCCGCCAGCCGCAGCTAGACTCCGTATTAATTAAATGCCATGAGTAGTCTCCGGGCGCTGATTTAGCCATAGGAATAGTACATCATACGGGCGGATAGAAACCGAAGTATGAGAATGGAGTGTTTTTCAGTGCTGCTGATCCTATGCACAAGTTTAAGCATCCGTATATCATCCGTTTCAAGCTGAAACTGGCAGATCTCCAGCTGAGTAGAAGTATTCTGAGTACTTTGTATAGTTGTAGACGACTCCAAAGTATAATCACACTATAAAGGAGTACAAAGTAACTAAAGAATACACATTTGAAATACTCTGCAATAGGCTCAATATAGACTGCATACAGTCTGCACACTGAATACAGTTTCAATAGAGCCGTCAATAATTGACACATCTCGGAGGCATACAGAAACACAGAGCGTCAGAGCTCTCCCCCCTGTAAAAGATTTGACAATGTTTCTGTTGATAGTACTCTGTAGTGGTATCTTCTTTTAATTTCATCCCTGTTCTCTTTTTCTTCATTCCTCATTCTTCAATTCTTCGTTTATTTGTCTCTTTTTCTGTGTGCTACATTTAATATGGCAAAGACCGCGTTGCTATAATTAACTTGCAGCTGTGCCTCACTCGCCGCTCCTCCACATCCCCAAAACGGTTAACTGTGTTTCTGTCAGTGTCAGTGTCAGTGATTAGTCTCCTTTTTTTCCTTTTTCTTTCAATTCTTTCTTTCTCGTCCGACCTGGAGGGCTGGTCTCTCCGGGGAGTCTAGTACTTGTACTTGTTCATCCACAGTACTTGTACACACTATCTCTTGTCACAGAAAAAGAAACGAGACACAGAGCTTGTTTATTATGTGAAACCCGGCAATCTCTCCTCCCCACCAACTATCCAAACTCTCCTATACTCATTCCACACGAGGTCTCTCTGCGAACTCGATTGGACCGTTGAATTTCCTCCCCTGCCAGAAGCTTCCAATTCTCATATTTTCGCTTTCAACCCATACTACTACTAGTTTATTGTCTACCAACTATCGGCGACTATTATCCTGACTATTCATTCCTCTCCATTCCTATTCGTCCCGTCTTGCTTTTCTTACTCTACTGTCTTATCTTTTATTCTTGTCTAGTACCAACAGCATTCTTGATTTGTCTTATTTCCTTCTACTATTATCGTCGCGACAGCTGTCTCCCGTATTGCTTGCTTGCTGCTGCCCGTTATTGACTCAGATCAGTCACATTAATCTATCAATACGAACCCCCGCCGCGGTCTCGATCGATTATATGAAACAAGCGGCGCGGCCCAAGTGCGCGCTGGTTGATTTTTTTTGCATAACGATCCCCCAACTGGGAGAAAGTCTAGTCTAGGGGCGATAATTTCTTCTAGTCCCATCAAGATGCCCATCAAAATCCCCAAAGGGTTTGCCCGGCGCAAGTCGTCCGGTAACGTTCTGGAAGAATCCGAAAATCCTCCCCAGTCTTCCTTTCGCGTCATTGAGCGTCCTTCCATGGATGCAAGATCTCTCAGCGAAGGCAATCTGCTGGCTCCCAAGAGTGCGATGACGGCACGCCGATCTTCACAGCCGCTAGAGGCCCCAGATAGTAACAACCTCTTTGCGGGCTCCTCGAGACCCTTCAACAAGAACCGGTATGCTCTCTCATCCTTACATACTCCGGTGAAATTATTCAGACACAGCTGACAGGTCACAGTGATAGTGGAGGAACCGATACCTCGGCCGTCACCGCCGGAACATACGAGAGCTCCTCATCGCTACGCTTCAGTTCATCGTCCACCAGTCGTCCCTCGAACGAAGCGCCGGCTCCTGAGAATACCCAATCGTCTCAGTTCCGAGGCTTCCACGACATTCCTCCGCTGACTGGTGCGCTGCGGGCCGCTGGCCGGACCCTCTCCTTTGGTGGACGATTCTACAAAAACTCCGCACCCCAGCAGCAGCCTCCACCACAACCAGACTCGTCCAAAACCAAGACAATGACAACTGCCACACCTCCGAAAATACTCGACACGGATTTGAAGTTGAACATGGGAAAGGAGAGTGATTTTCAGAGTATGCTGGAAGATTTCGGGAGCCCGAAAGAGGCATCTTTTGGCGATGAACTGGCAGATCCGGTATGGGAGAAAGAATCCCTCTACTCGATTACCATTATTCTATGTGCAATTGCTAACTTGCTACTCAGGAACCACAGTCTTCCTCGTCAGCGCCTCAAACAGCTGGAAAAGCATCGCGGCCGCCTCCGATCAACACAGACAGATCAAAGGAAGTCGAACCTTCCCCGTACTCGTGGGACAGTCGTCACTCGGAAGAAGGCCTACTAGGCACATTTGATTCTGGCCGAAGAGATTCCTTAGCAGCCCAAGTCAGTGCCATGTCTATCAGCGGAGGACGCAAATCGGTCCCTCCAACTACAACCCCACCGCCGGCCACTACCTCGCACCGTGCTCTGGGTCGACCCAGGGCCGGAGCTGACAAGGGGCTGAGGAGGAGCGTGATATATTCCGAAAAACGGGATTCAGCTCCTGTGGAAGACGAGGACGCTCGGTTGATCGTGCAGGCGCTGTATTCGGGTAAAGGCAACACCCACGAAACGGAAAACGAACCCCTCTTCGGGCATGCAAACGAAGACCTCCAGGGTCCATCTCCATCGCGCGTTCGCAAATCACCCGCGCTTTCAGAGTACAACGATGCACGACTTGCTGTCCAGTATGAAAACCATGTACCGAAGTCCATTTCGCCGGCCAACAAAGTCATGACCCCATCGCAGTTCGAGCATTATAAGCAACAACAGGAGCTGCGAAGGGCCAACAGTGACGCGTCAAAAAGCGAGTACTCTTCGGAGAGCGAATTTGACGAAGACGATGAAGCGGAGAAGAACCGGGAGGCAGAAAGGCAGAGACGGAAGCAGGAAGCCCACTTGTCGGTCTACCGCCAACAGATGATGAAGGTCACTGGCCAGCAGCAGTCGTCAACGCCATCGGTCCGTCCGGAGCTAGACCGCTCCAGTAACAGTAACCCGAACCTGACGGTCCGATTATCCATTCCAGGGAATCCATCCACAAGCGGGAAGAGTAGCGACGGTGGTGATGATGATGATGATGATGATGATGATGATGAGATTCCATTGGGCATCTTGGCGGCCCATGGATTCCCGAGCAAGAATCGTCCCCCCACACGCCTCAGCACTCCCCGATCGATTCCCAATCTCCGATCTTCATTCCAGCTTCCTAGGTCATCTGCGAGTTCAGCTCACGGTGACCAAGGTACTGTCAATCATGCCAGCTTGCCTGCTTTTGCCAAGAACCTGCCACGAGATCCGTACTACGGAGCTAGTATTGTCAATCCTACTAACCGGGAATCTTTGGCTCTGGGTGGAGGTATGTCCGCACAGGTAAATCCTTCGTCGTCCGCACTGCCTCCAGGAGGCTTGGTGGGAGTTATTGCTACAGAAGAACGGGCTCGGGCCAACCGACGCGGCAGTCCCAATACTCAGGCGATGTACGAACATGCAGCATTTGGAGGGAGCACTCCTCATTTGGCCGGTGGTATCCCTAGGCCCTACTCGATGATGGGCATCAATCCGCCAAGTGCACCTTCACCCCAGCCGCCAGTCTCCGCGACAGAGCAGGCCCAGATCCAGTTGTCGCAGCAAATGTCGCAAATGATGCAGCTGCAAATGCAGTGGATGCAACAGATCATACAGATGCAGGGCGGGCAGAGCTCGCTACAGCCGCCACCGCAAATGCCAATGGCTGGTCCCTTACCATCTATCAATGTCAACCCGAATGGCAGACCCGCGTCGATGCCAGCAGCTGGGCCTTTGAACCCTACCGCCACCGGATCGCAAGGCGGCCAGAGGACTCTCAGTATGTTGAATCCGCAATCGTCTCGGGTGAACACTGGCCCTTCAATGGCGTATGCTGCGGGCGGGCTTCGTCCTGGTACGCCAGCGGGGCAAGGTTATGAACCATCGATTGCGCCATCCGAACGTAGCAACGTCGGTGCAGGGCCTCGGTATCGACCAATGTCGGCTATGCAACCGGAGCAGGGACCGTCATTGGTGCCTCCAATGTCAAAGCCATGGAATGATGAAAACCAGAGGTCGACCGTTTCGCTTGTCAAACCCTCTACGCCATCAGTCACTGCTCGCCCTGTCTCGAGTGCTGGTTTCTCTGTCAGTGCTAGCAAGCCTCGACAAGCTGCTGCTGCAGATGATGACGAAGATGACGATGAGGGCTGGGCCGAACTCATGAAGAAACGAGAAAACAAGAAGAGCAACTGGAAGACGAAACGAGAGACTTCGAACCTGGGAGATCTGTTGAACGTCGTACATTGACGGGCGCACATCTCTCTCCCCCATTTCCTATTTTTACAGCCAATTTCTGCCATTTGTTTTGGATATGAGCAATCTCCCCCTGCCACAGTATTTGACGCAATGACACTCGCATCTATTTACGAAAGCTCTTGATTTGTCTTCGGTTTCATAATTATGGGATGGTGGACGGCGTTTTCAGGATTTGGTGTCTATTTATTCCATGTGTCTTCAGATTTTATGGGAATTTCTGTATTAAAGTAACTGCTAGAGCGATGGTCAATTTCTGTACTTAATCATAGACTAATATATCGAATGTGCAAACAGACCATAGGGTGATACCACGCGTTCTCAGATGCCAGCCAAGTTTTTAATTATACCATTGGCTTCGCATCGGACACGTTCCAGGATGGTAGCAACAGGCAGAGCCTCCTTGATCAGTCCAACTCCAGTCCCAGCATATGTAGTCATCCTCCCCGCCGGGCCCCATCCATCATCACCTTTCTTCATCTCTTCCTGATAGAGTCGCCTGTTTTCCTCCTCATCCATTCCTTTTTCGACGGCATCGACATAACTCTCGTTGATCACGCCGCGCCCATCATACCGATCCGGCCAGCCACCAATTCCTCTCACCCGATCATACACCGTCGACCGGACCGTGTTACGACCTCCGTCAGATGCACGCAGAACCTCCGCTTGATACCCACGAGCAACAGTTGCTTCTGACGAAGCCAGGAAGCGCGTACCCATGACGACTCCCGATGAACCTAAGGCCAGAGACGCGGCCATACCTCGACCATCGACGACGCCTCCTGCTGCTAGGATGACGGGTAGAGCATCCTTCGTCGCGTGGTTTACGTGCAGCGCATCCCGTACCTCGGGCACCAGCGTGATAACGGACGCTGAACGAGCCAGCCCATGACCCCCTGCATCTGACCCTTGAATGACAAGAACATCTGGTCGTAGCGCCCCAACGACGTCCATCGCTTCTATCACCGTCCCGACTTGCACCCAGATCTTCGTCCGTCCGTCCGTCGCAGCCCGCACGCGCTCAACCCATGCCCGCAAATCATCAGGCTGCGACCTAGGGGCGAAGAACCACACCGCGCATGGCCTATACTTCCCAATAGCAGTGACTGCGATCTCCAAATCCGCGCCCCAGTTGATAAACCCCACACCCGCGGGGAGGATACCCGTCTCGGCGTGGAAATTGCGGATTTCGGCGTTTTTGGATTCTCTCACGAGCCGGGCGGTTTCTTCTAGGTTGCGCTCCAAGTTTGAAACGTCCAATCCGCCCGCAAGAAAACCTAGACCTCCTGCTTCTGAGACGGATATCGCTAGCGGGGGCAAGGCGATGTTGAGCATCGGAGCCGAGGCTATTAGAGGGGCCTTCGTCCATGGGTAGGTTGATTGAAGGACTGAGTTGGAGGAGCTCATGGTTGATTATAAGCGGTGTTCTTTATCTACAAAGTGTGAAATATGTACAGTATTCAAAGAAAGTGCAAGAAGTGAGAAAGGATTCATGTTGGAGAAGTAATATAACCTAATTGGGAAGCATAACCTTATGCCCATAATGCATAGAAATCACGTGGAAGTCACGGGACTGAACCAGCATTTTGATAAGACAAGCAGCTCTCGAAGCTCTCTTTCTGATAGTCTCCAACCTCGAATCCAGCCGTATTACAGCCAGGAAAAGAGAGAACCCCAGCATCTTTTTATTTCCTTCTTTTCTATTTTATCCATTCTCTTTTGCATTCTTCCTTTTCATTTCTTTTTAATTCATTGTGATACCCCCTTCACTGCGTTTTTGCCATCTTTTCTTTAGTACATTTTTAATATCCTTTCGCTTTTGGTTGCTTCAAGGGAGACTGCGCGCGTCTAGGTAGGTCGATTCTCCTGTCGAACCTTGAAGGAAGAGATTTTATTAATGCTTTGGCAGTTGATTCTGGCTATCCTTTAAATCATTTGGAAAGACTTTGGATAGTTGAATTAAAGCAATAATTTACAAAAATGAACGCACCTGACAGGTAGGGAAGCCTTTTCTTTCTGTCTTCTTTTTCTTATTTTTGTTGTGTGTGCCCATCGATCACAAACATCAACAAATGACATCGCCAGAGGAGAGGGGAGGAGGGCTTTGTGCCTTGCCCAGGACTCTTCCTCTTTTCTTCCTCTTTCTCTCTTGATTTCATCCAACTTCATCCTCTTCCCTTTCTGTCTACACTATACTGTGTTTTCATCTCTTGAAATGGATTCAGACAGAAGTGAAAGAGAGGGCTCTGTCTTCATCCTGCCCCGTGAAATGGTATTTGCGCGTTACATCGATAACCACAGCAATCCTCGTGCTCGCCAGTCGAGTGTCGACTTGGATGTCGACAACGACCGTCAGTCTAGGTGGGCACTGGATATTTTGGATCTGCTTGAAACTTGTCTTTTGTTTGGGTGCACTGTTTCTACTTTTGAAAGAAGATGCTAACTGGCTTTGAATAATAGATACGAGTCCTTTGTCCTTGCCCCTGGTGAGAACAAGGTTGACTTCGAGATTGATACTCGTAAGTTTTTCCTGTTCTGAGGACATTCTCGATCTGTTTAGATATTAATGCTAATATGACTGCTAGGTATCCCCTCTTCTGCCATTTTCACCTTCAACAAGGAAGACCACACCCTGGGCAACTTGCTCCGCTCTCGTCTCTTGCAGAGCTCCCACGTCCTTTTTGCCGGTTACAAGGTACGTTGCTGCTCTAGCTCTCGTGTCAGTTGTCATCAGAAGACTGTATAACTAACACGCTCATCCAGGTCCCTCACCCTCTGCTTCCCAAGTTCGAACTGCGTGTTCAGACCGACGGTGAGATTACTCCCAAGGACGCTGTGATCGCAGCCTGTCACGACTTGGTCAAGGACTTGGGTATTCTCTCCCGGGAGTTCACCAAGGAGTATGAGCTGCGCAAGATGGTTGGATCTACCCAGCAGCAGCAGAATGGCCTCGACGGACAGTAGAGGGAATAGTTCAAAATGGTTCCGTGTCATGAACTAGTGCGCATCTGTGCTTTTCGACATGACGCTACTACTAGTCGGATCGGCCACGTCCTTGCATTTCTTATTGCCACGGCGAATTAACGAGGTTTACGGTTAATGTGCGAATCCCAAGAGGGAGCAAAAAGAGAAAATGTCAATTTAATCAATTCAAAGATACTTTCAAGTATAATAATATTATGTACACAGTTGTCGTAACTAGTTAATGGCCCATGTGGCCCCTGACTAAGCCCATACCTGATCGGGGCTAGTGCGCTGTCTCTCCGCGTCCCTGAATTCCGGTTCGTCGGCAGCTCCTGATCTCGCTCTCTCCCCTCCTATCGCTGCCTGTTTGTTACTTTCCATTCGTTATTTGTTTTCTTTTTCATCTGTTTTCGATGCTATCTTCTTCCTTCGTGTAGATGTTTTCCGGCTCAAATACCTTCCTGGGTGGCGCCAACAGCGCTCGCCCAGGCACGGCGCCTTACCTACAGCAGCCATACTCCCAATTCCCCGGTCAGCAGCAACCACAACCGCAACAACCACAGCCAACGGGCTTCGTTCCTCAACCGACCGGATATGCGCCTCAGTATACTGGACTCGGAGGCCCTCAACTGCAACCCCAACCCACGGGGTTCGCCGGTGCTGGACAGCTTCAACCGCAATTCACGGGGTTCCCGCCACAGCAGCAGCAACCGCAGCCGCAACCACAAAGCTTCCAGCTCTCCCCCCAGCCGCCCCAGTTGACCGGATATCCTCCCCAGAGTCAGCCTCAGCCGCCGCAGCTTCAGGTCGCTCAACCAACCGGACTGCCCCTTCGGGCTGCGAAGACGTCAAATGAGATAGCTGATTCGTTTAGCGATGGACGCCCGCAGCCGCCACCCAAGACTCCTTCCGGGGCTGGTAATAAGATCCCTAGTATCAGGCTTTCGTTCATTACCGCGCAGGATCAGGCCAAGTTCGAGCAGTTATTCAAGTCGGCGGTTGGGGAGAACCAGACGATGGATGGTGAGTAGGGATGGATCTGTTATACCAGAAGTACGGGGTTGCTGATGCTTGCTTTTCTATAGGCGAGAAAGTCAAAGAGCTACTACTACGGTCTAGACTCCCCGGGGGTGACTTGTCGAGGATCTGGTAAGCAGCACGAGCGATGAATACTACTCTTTGGACCAGAGAGCTTACAGACCGTGATAGGATTTTGTCGGACACCACCAAATCCGGACAGCTGTTCTTCCCCGAATTCGCACTGGCAATGTACCTCTGCAACTTGAAAATCACCGGCAGAGATCTTCCCTCCGCGCTTCCTGAGACGATTCAGAACGAGGTCTCCAGCATGGTGGACATCATTTCCTTTACCGTTCCCGACACGCAGCCGGAGCAACCGCTACTCCAGAACAAGGCTGAGCCCCCAGCGCCACAGCAACCCCGGCCGCAGCAGCCGTCGAACTCCCAGCTCCTCAGTCAGTTGACAGCGCAACCTACTGGTTTTGTCACCCAGCCGACCGGATTGCAACCCAACCCGACTGGTTTCCCGGGTCAGGGTCTCGCTCCACAAGCGACTGGGTTCCCTGGTCAGGGCCTCGCTCCACAAGCGACTGGTTTCCCAGGGCCTAGCCAGCAGTTCCTGCAGCCTCAACCGACGGGATTGATGAACAACCCGCAGTCCACCGGATACAGTGGCCCTCGTCCCCCTATTCCGCCGATTCCCACCGGATTTGGATCCAACCTGAGCCCAGCTCAGACGGGTGGGACGGCTGCTTTGACCGCGCAGCCTACTGGCATCCCGGGTCAGTGGGGATTCGTTAACGCTCCCGCGACAGGATTGCCTAACATTGAGGCTCTTAAGCAGCAGCTCATGCCTCAGCCGGGCCGCGAGGGTGGCTTCTCTACCGCTGGACTCTCTGGAAATGCCACCGTTCCGTGGGCAATTACTAAAGAGGAGAAGAGGATCTATGACGATCTCTTCCGCGTGTGGGATGGTTTCCGCAAGGGATTCATTGGTGGTGAAACTGCTATTGAGATTATGGGTCAAAGTGGTATGGAGCAGAAGGACCTGGAGCGGATCTGGACTTTGGCGGACCCGCACAACCGCGGTAGGCTCAACATGGATGAGTTCGCTGTGGCCATGCATTTGATCTATAGAAGACTTAACGGTTATCCTGTGCCAAACCGTCTGCCGCCAGAGCTTGTTCCGCCATCTACAAGGAATCTTAATGATTCTATCGGTACTGTCAAGTCGATGCTTTCGCAAGACGCCGAGTCTCGGAAGGCATCTGGTGCGTTTTTGCAGCCCCAGAAGACCGGTGTCAGCTACCTGAAGGATCACTCATTCCGGGGTGGTGGATCCCCAGGCTTTGGCCGAAAGGATGCCACCATGTTCAAGAACAATGACGAGGCTGCCGCAGGGTACCGATCCAGCGCCCGTCGCCGTGTCGGTAACAATGTTGCTCGGACCCCGTCCCCTGCTACTTCCCAGGCATCGGAAGATGAGCTGTCTATCGACCAGCTGAAGAAGAAAATCCGTGAGACCAAGGTCATGCTCGATGCGGTCGATTTCCAGGATGAAAACCGTGCCGAGGAAAATGAAGTCCTTGACCGCCGGGATCGCAGAGAAGCGGAAAGCCTTATGGAACGAATCCGCCGTGTGCAGGACGATATTGATACCCACCCCCACGCTACTTTCCGTAACCTCGATTCGGGAGCGGAGCGGCGGTCACTCCGTCGTCAATTGCAAGGCTACGAGGACCAGGTTCCGCAGGTCGCCTCCGATGTCCGCAGACTTGAACGGGAGATCTCTGAGGCTAAGCTTGAGCTTTTCCGCCTGAAGGATGCCAAGGCGCACCCTGGCACTGCTTCTAACATCGTTGGCACCGGTCCCGGCGGCACGGTCACAGAGGCAGACCGTATCAAGGCTCGCGCTCGTGCAAGGATGCAGGCCCGTGCTGCTGAGCTTGCTGGACGGCCCGCGCCTGTGTCTGAGGACGATGACGGTTCGGCTGCTCGTCGATTGGAGGCCGAAAGCACGAATGTTAAGGCGGACAGAGAGCGCAATGACACCATGACGCGCGACGTTGAGGATAGTGTCAAAGACTTCGCCAGGAGTCTCGAGGACAGCCTCAAGGATGGAGGCGAAAGCTCTACGCGTGAACACGAACGCCGTCGGTGGGAGGATGCGCTTGGCGTGGAAGATGTTATTCGCGACTTCATCTACGACTTGCAACGTAACGCTCGCACTGCGCACATTCGTAAACAAGAGTAAGTTTTTCTTTCTACGTGAGATGGGCCGTTGAAATTAATGACTCGTTCAGGGAATCAAGACCGTCTCCTGCTCAATATGACGCGCTATCGCCTGAAGGCCCGGGCGCTGCCCGGCCTTCTCCGCCACCTTCTACATCTCCAGGCCCCCTGCCGGGCAATACTCATGAGGACCGTGTTGCTGCAGCCAGGGAACGTGCTCAAAGACGTATTGCTGAACGTATGGCGGCGGCCGGTCTGAAGCCTCATGACGCCGGGGAGTCTCTTACTCAGCGTCAAGAGCGTGAGAAGAGAGAACGGGAGGAGCGTCTGAAGCGGGCAGAGGAAGAAGACGCTCAGAGGGAACAGGAAAGACAACGCCGCATCGCTGACGAACAGAAGCCGGCTGAGAAACCGGCCACTAAGCCGATGGGCAAGAAGCCACCACCTGCTCCTCCTACGAGGAAGCATGGCGGAGACGGTGCCGCTCAGGCTGATGCGAAGAAGGCTGCGGAGGAAGCTGCTAAGGCCGAACAGGCTGCCCAAGAGCAGGCCATCAAGGAAGAACAGCAGGTTCAGGAAGCTGAGCGGATGCGCCTTGAGTAAGTTCTCAAGTTGTTCTGTATGATATCTTAACTCTTTGCTAACTCACTAATAGGGACGAGTCCAGACTACAAGATGACGAGATGCAAAAGGAGAAGGAAACACAAGAAGCTCGTCTTCGTGCGCTCGAGGAACAAGTCAAGCAAGGCAAGATCAAGAAGCAAGAAGAAAAGCGCCGCAAGGGGGAGGCCGCCAGATCTACAAAGGAACAAGAAGATAGGGCTGCCGCTCAACGTGCAGAGCTCGAAATGGCTCGGGAGCGTGAGAGGCAGCTTCAGCTTGAGTTGGAAGGCCTTGGTGATGAGAGCTCGGATGACGAGGGACCTGAGTATGTCACGCCTCAGGATAGCACGCCCACTCAGAGCCAGATTCTTCATCCAGAGGCTGCTCCAGTACCGGAGCCTGCAGATGAATGGGAGTTAGATTCCGAGCCTCCGCATGAGCCGGAGCCTGAGCCGCACCCTGAACCAGAACGGCCTGCAAGCCCCGAAGTCACTTCGCCGGCTCCCCACGTCAACATCGAGCCTTCGTCCAACAACCCTTACTTCAATAAGATTCCTCAACCTGCCGCTCCGTCGCCCGACGTCCAATCGACCAATCCCTTCCATCGCCTGGCACAGCAGGAGAGCATCAAGCCCACTTTTACCGGCGCAAGACCATTGGAGCAGAAGTCTCGTGCACGTCCCGAGGAAGATGACTGGTCGGCAGCAGGATCCGACTTTGATGATTCTGACGATGAGGATGAAAATCCTGGTGGCGGTAGCGCGAAGCAACTCGCTAGTATCCTGTTCGGCACCATGGCACCACCACGGCCTTTGAGTGCGATGGATAACAAGTCTCCTTCGCAATCGGCGACACCGGTGCAAGATGCTTCGCCCAAGCCTGCTGAAACTGAAGAGCCCGCGGCGCCTAATGCTGTTCCACCACCGCCGCCCCCGCCGCCAGTTCCAGCTCCTGCAGGCGACTCTGGTATTCCTCCGCCGCCCCCGCCTGCTCCTCCTGCAGCACCTCCCGCGCCTCCACCGGCACCGCCTGGTGTTCCACCTCCGCCTCCAGCTGCCGCGCCCCCGGCACCGGCAGGAGCAGGTGGTCGAGGAGCGTTGTTGGCTTCGATCCAGGCAGGCAAGGGTCTCAAGAAGGTGCAGACCAATGACCGGAGCACAAGTTCGACTGCGGGACGGACTCTGTAGAGGGCTGTGTTTTGGATACGGGGTATATCAGTGATTGATTACTGGTACATTAGTAACTATAGCTATTAAGGAGTGTTTATAATGCAGTGGCTTGCTAGACTTTATTTCTCTTCTCTTTAGCCGGTGAATGTAGCGTAGCGTAATGCGGTTTGGCCGGTGTATATCAACACCATTGGTGTCATCTTAGGGTCATATCCTACCTTGACCTCTCTCCATTCTTCATCTCTTCTTCCACCATCTAATGATCAGCATCTCTCAGCATCAACTGGTTTTCCATTATATTTCTCATCTTATTTACCCTCCATCACAGCCGAAAGAGGTATTGTTGCTCTGCCCAAGCCTTGATGATGTTGAAATGAACCACCATTCCAGACCATGGATAATCGGAAACACCTACCAAAGCTCACAATGAACCATTCTATGAGCGGACTGAATAACTCAACGAGGAGTTGTTGACTGCGCTAGGTGAAACAAATTTTCAGATTTTAAGATTACACAGCAGATGCCAGAATGGGAGGTCTTAGGGTCTAATTTTCTGATACCTCCTAAGTGACACATTTCTCGTCAAATGAGATGCTTCCCCCCCCCCCCCTTTCCTTTTTCTCTCTTCGGACGAGTGGCTTCCCTTTTGGCTTCAACGACATGGCACGGAGATTCCAGAGTTGCTAGGGGCGAGGGATGAAAAACCTTTGCGAAGCGAGTGGCTTTCGCTGGATCATTCTGGTCTTCACTAGTCACAAGCCAGCAGCTCGCCAAAGCACCGCGATAGAGTCAAGGCATGAGCATCAATTCTTAGCCGTGCTCCTGCACATCTGGACTTGAACAAATATTATTATATATACATCTGAGCTTAAGGTGTAATCCAGATACTTACTTTTTTTTTTTTTTTTTTTTTTTTTTGCCCTAACATTACGTAGCAATTCGTAACTATACACCGGTATATAAATATGCAATACAAACCCTGACACTATAAATAATTTCCAACAAGCAAACAGGGTAGTTAAGACACCGCCTCAGCAATGACATTGCCAAGGGTACTAACACACCACAATACAACCAAACCCCAGCCAATCTTCCGATCCATCCGCCACCCATTCAGCGGAACGACGATCAAAACTCCGGCCAGTGTAATCAACAAAGTAATCGCACTGATGACCAAGACCTTGGAGATGGCAACCTCATACAGTCCCGCAGCAGCAGCTACAGCGTCCGGCTTCGCGTTCACGGTCATGTACATACCACCGAGGCCAATTCCAAGGAGGATGTTCATCATGGGTCCGCCGAAGCAGGCGCTCAGTGCCATGACGGGGTATCCGAGACGTGCGACGGTGATGTCCGCAACGAGGTCGCCCAGCGAGTTCCCGACTGCGAAGACGGTGAGGCCGAGGAGTGAGTCGCTGATGTTCATGATGACGCCTATGGCTTTGAGGAGGTTGACGACTTCCTCTGCGATTGTGGCAATCCAGCAGATTGCGACTAGAAAGCCGAGGAGGGCTAAGAATGAGCGCCATGGCTTGGGTGGTTGTGAGTTATGACTGAGCCCGGTGCTTATTCTGAGTAAGGTGAAGCACAGCAAGGAGAAAAGAAGAGCGATGAGAGCCGGTAAGAGGAGATAGCGAGGTCTAGATTCCGAGTCTATGACCGTCCAGGCAATCAGGGCAATGAAAAATGGTCCAACGAAAAGCTGAACAGAGACTAGCCATTGGTTCCATTCTTTCGGGACCGATGTGACTGCGTCCTCGGATAATTGTTGGACGGCTGGTACCTCTGAATTGAAACGTTGTCTCCCCTGCGAGGACTGATGCTGAGCCTTGCCATCATCATCTGCTCCTCCTTGCTCACCAGACTGGTGTTCAAGGGCACGGATAACCGGACTATCATCTGGGAGCCTCACCCGGGGCATGGTTGAACCATTCCCATCATCTGCTGTAGTCACCACGACGGAAATGGGATCCGTGATTGTCTCGGATGGTGCTGGTTCAATGACAGGAATAGTCACCGTCAGAAGCAACACAGTCGGGGCTGCAACAATTCCCAGTAATCGTTCCCAGATACTCTTGACTTTCCAGTCACACAGTGTCGGAAAAAGCGTCGAAAATAGAGATTGTGGCGATGGTAGCATCCAATAAGGCCACCACTTGATTCGCGCCGGCGGACGATTGTCTCCATTTTCAGAAACACCGTCACGGACCTGTAGCCGCTCCGTGGGACTTGAGCCGCCTCGCGGACGAATACTGGATGTACTGGACGACGAAGATTCCAGGTAATCGGTGAACGGAGGGAACGGGCTAAGTGGACTTTCGGTTGTAGGTTCAGCAGGAGAAGTGCCTGGGGAGAGATGTGTCCCGCGTGGAGAATGAAGCGGCGAACGTGGACGGGAGGCATTGGTCTGGTAATTGGGAGACCGGAAGGCATCTGATGGCGCGAGCAAATCTGGGGTTTGAGGCGCATCTGCACCCCCTGGGGATGGGCTCGACGAAAAATAATCACCAGCGTCCGATGGTGATAGTGCATCTCGACTGACCGGGCAGTTTTCAGCCGTGTCGTCGAGACCTTCCCCGGAAGGCCGACTGACAGTGACTTGAACTGGCGGGTTTGTGTCTTGGTCAAAGACACTAGTGTCAATTTTCAGCCCAGCAGCATCATTAGCAGATACAGCTCGAGTTCGAGCGGAACCCTCATGCGGTGAAAGTTGGCTAGGGGACCGGTATACCTGCGAGTGTGATGCAACGGAGCGATTGTCAAAGTCTTGAGAAGGCCGCGCTTCAGGATCATCCGAGTACCTGTCCAGGTCAATTCCCAGAGTTTGGTGAACGTTTCTAGATTTCTGTAGCGAAGAGAGAACGGATTGAAATTCAAGTGCGCCAACCAAACTGGGTCTGATGGGATTCAGCGCAGCGGTATTTCGCCTCCGCGAATTAGGACGATATATATGCATGTTCTCCCGTATCTCAGCCAGATAGCGATTACGAGTTTCATCGTCCTCGTCTCTGTCTTCTTCTGTCCATGCGAGTCGATCAGACCTTTCCAGCGCGTCAAAGTCTTCCGTCGATCCAGCTTGAAGCAGACTCCTCGATTCAGACCCTACACCAGGATCGTCATCCTCCGCAGGCTCCTCGATGTCCAACTCCTGGTTTTCCGGGATGTGGAAATGGGACCGTGCCGCAACGTTCCTCTCGTACCTTCGACGCTGGTGCACGAAATACCAATGCCAACTGACCACCATCGCCACATAGAAACAGTATAGAGCCACCATTACGGTGGATTCCCAGATATGCAGGCGCCCATCTGCTAGAAAAACCATGCTGAAACCCACGGCAATGATGAAATAACCAACGTCGCGAACGAAGCTCCTCCGGGCGACCTTGAACGGCCGGACTAATGCCATTGAGCCAGCCACCACTGATGTAATGAAGGTCGCGGCTCCGATCAGTTCACCAACAGCAAGGCTTCCACTATTGGACTTCATCGCAGCAAATGTGGAGAACACGTCGGGGCTTCCATTTCCGAAGGCAAGGAATGTGACTCCCGTCAAACTCTCACTCAACCCCAGGATACTGGCCAAAGTGCTCAAGTTGATACATAGAAAGTCGCTGGCGGCTATTCCGATAGTATTGAAGATCAAGCACATCCACAGAATGAGGAGAATGAATGCTAGCGGTTTGGCGTCCGCGAGAGAGCAATAGTAGAATTGGAGGTAGGAGAACAGACCATCTTCATGGTCCGGGCAGTTGGTACGGACAAAGGCGCATTTGTCCTTGACGTTACGAACAAGCCGACACTATTGCGCCAAAGCACACACAATTAGCCTCCTTCATTGCTTGAATCCAAGATGGGTGGAATACCTCCGGTTCAGTGTCCCGCCTGAGAAGAGCAATGGTCGCATCCTGCGTAAGAGATTCATCTCCCCTCCACGCCGCAATAGCCCAGCTCACCGTCGCAAAGACGGTAAACGCGAGAAACGTCCAGTATAACGAAGGGTTGACTGAGAATCGGCGCCTTTTCGGGCGAACCGAGAGCCAGTTCACGGACGGAGAATAACGAGGGAGCATGGTGACGGATGCCGCATCCTGGGCAGAGAGCGAAATCGACACTCCCAACGCCGGACTATATATTCAAGAGTATTTATAGGGATACTCAATCTCCAGGCTGAAGAATTAATGAGCAGAAATTTGCCGCAAGGATGAAGCACGAGTGCAGTGAGGTCTGCGCAGAGATACGGTGATGTCAGTCCGCGGCGGAAGACAGCATAGAAGATATAGATAAGCACACACACCTTACCAGGGGTATTTGAAGAGACCTTGATTGAAGAGTATATGAAAAAGAGAAGATTCTATCTACTCCGTACCTGCTTTTTATTTTCCGTGGTGTGACTCGAATGATCTGCTGGCACGATGTCATACACTAATTTGTATGCTACCGTATCCCGGTTACCATACTGTACTGTCAGTTACCGTACGGTACCAATTGAAACAAACACAGACCGCCTGCAAGTCATCTGACTTCCCAAACAAGGCTAGCGTCTACACAAGTGGTCTGTCTCCTCAGCCGTATGTTTTGTTGTTCCCCCGAAACGGTTGTTTTGTGGAAGGCACCGCGGAACCGTTCAAGCGTCGACATCCTTCCGCATCAAGACTCGCGACTGCGCAGGCGATGAAACTCGGCCTCTGCGCTTGCTGATTTTCGTCTCTATCGTGATCTTTCCTTCAATCATTGTTTTGGGTGCGTCCCTTACTGTTTAAGGGAGTCACGATGCCCCGCGTATCAAACCCCAAAGTGCGCCGCAGCCATGGCGGCGCTTCTACCCCTCATAAGAATACGCCCGTTAAGTAATGTCTCCCGTTCGAGTTCCAGTCAATATGCGAATCTCCCTTGCAAAGAATGGTACTGACAAGATCAGAATCCCATTGAATGATGATATGGGAGAGAAGGCGGCCCGTATGGAGGCCCGGCAAGCCCTCCACGACCGCCAAATGAACCAGATCAAAGCCGCCGTCAAGACGCCCATGCCGCCCCGGAGACGTCAGAGCTATGAACCAGGAAGTACAAGTCCGACTACCCCGCGCCATACAGGCCGTGGCCGGGAGAGCGATGTCTATGGACAAAGAGCTGTGACCCCAATGAAACGAGTGCCGATTCTCGCCAACTTCGAAGAATGGATGAAAATGGCGACAGACAACAAAATCAACGCCAACAACTCTTGGAACTTTGCCCTGATCGACTACTTCCACGATATGTCGTTGCTGAAAGAAGGAGACGGTGTCAATTTCCAGAAGGCCAGTTGTACGTTGGATGGCTGCGTGAAGATCTATACAAGCAGAGTCGACAGTGTTGCGACGGAGACAGGCAAGCTTCTTAGTGGCTTGGCTGATGGCCGCGACAAGAGAGGCCGCGAGGCCGATGCAGATGGCGATGAAGAAGAGGAAGAGGGGGAGGACGGGACGACTAGGAAATCGAGAAAGAAGGTATTACGAGTCTCCCTGTGCAACAGCGTCAGACTGGCAGCTAACGCTCTGACTATTAGGCTCAACGGACACATGAAGCTACACTGGCGCCATCATTCGCATCTCTACAACTGAAAAAGTTCGAACTCGAATTCTCCGTGGACCCATTGTTCAAGAAGGCATCGGCAGATTTTGATGAAGGTGGCGCTAAGGGTCTACTCCTGAACCACTTAGCCATCGACGGTCAAGGGCGAATTGTATTTGATAGCAGCGATGATGCCGATGAAGAAAGCGGCAAAGACGCGGAGGAACAAGATGGTGTCAAAGATGAAGAATCCGCCGAGCCTGAGCAGCCTGGCTCCCCATCGCCCAAGCAATCCCAGGACGATGCGTTTGACAACATGGAAATCGATGTTGCTCCATTAGCGAGTCGGTTTTTCCCTAACTTGGATCATCTCGACGAACAAGACATTTGCCCCTCCCTCAAAAACTTCGATCTCGGTGATCCAAGCGGATCATTGGATATCCCCTTGCTGAAGGCTTCTGAGGACTGGCGAAACGAGAAATCTTTTCATGAGGAAGGGCGACACGCAAATGATCCGTCGGGGATCATGCTTGACGACGACAATGCTGTCGGTTTCGATGACGATGATGGCACACTTGCTGGTTTTGATCTTAGTGACGATGCTGGATTTGGTGATGGCGGTGAAGTTTGGGCCCGTGAGGCCGCATTGGACCCAATGCTCAAGGTTCACCGTATCGACCAAGAAGGCGATGGAAACAATGATGGTGAAGAGGCAGACCAAGATGCGTATACCATCTCTCTCGCCCACCAGCCGGGCAGCCATGGCCATGAAAACATTCTTAGCTATTTCGATAATGCGCTGCAGAAGAACTGGGCGGGTCCGGAGCACTGGAAGATTCGACGCATCAAAGATAATGCAGCCGCAAGCACCACAAATGCTGCACCCAAGCAACGGAAAGAAAAGGAGCCTTTCGAGATTGATTTTGCGGCGCCTTTGGATCAAGCCGTTGCTGAAACGATATACACGCCAGCGAGTTCCAGTTCCACCATCTCCGTACCCAAGACTCAATGGAAGACCAAAGGTCGCAACCTCCTGCCCGATGATAAGCACTTCAACTCCCGGCAGCTTCTTCGTCTTTTCCTCAAACCCAAGGCGCGGATGGGCTCGAAGCGGTTGACAGGCCCTCGGAACTTCAACAACAGACGACAGGATCAAACAGCTGCAAACGGTGAGATGGATGAAGCATTCTGGGCCAACCACAAGACCGAAGAAGAGAACCCGGCCGATGAGGACGGAGCTCGCGGCGCCTATGATGCAGACTTTTTCGCAGACGATGATGGCCTTGCGTTCTCTAACGGGCTTGGGCTACCAGATGACGACGACGACAACTTACCTTTTGCGGATGCTAGGGAAATGCTTTCGCCAGCTCCCGACGCGACTGGTGGCCAGTCCGGACTTGCCGCACTTCTTAATGGCGGTGGTGGATTCGGGTCACAGCTCGTGACTCAAGGTGGCCGACGAGCACGGCCCGACTATGTTGCTTATGCACGAGTCGCCAAGAAGGTCGACGTAAGACGACTCAAATCGGAGATGTGGAGGGGCATGGGTGAAAGATTGATCGAATCAACACACTTTAGCTCGCCACCTCAGCCGGCTCCTGCCGAGTCCAGCGAGAATGAGCCAGAAGGACCACCGACACCGACGCAAGAAAACCCGCAGCCTACGCCTGGTACTGACAGTCAAGATGGCGGGTTACGTTTCACGCAGATCATGAACTCGCTGAAATCGTCCTATGCACCGGAGACGTTGCGCGACATTAGCACGTCGTATGGCTTCATCTGTTTGCTTCACTTGGCCAACGAACAGGGCCTCGTCTTGAATAACAATGATCCATCAGGGGCCTTGGAAGAGATCTTTGTTGCCAGGGATCCGAATGCCGTCATTGAAGAGGGAGCTATGTAGATGTGCCTGCGTATAGGGCAATGTCTATATTCGTATCTGGTATAAATGATGAATGATCTGGGTTGGAATGCTTATATGCGCAAAGGAGTTGGTGGTCCTGTTTGGTATTCAGGATGGCGTGCGATGTTTATGGTTTTTGTTTAATTCTCCTTGGATGTTTAGGATTTTCTCTTTTCGAGGTACATAGGGCATGCAATTTATCTACTGTATATGTGTTTATTCTTGAAGCTCTGAGTATTGGGTTGAGTACGGATCTCAAGAGTAGTTTGATTGATATAGAATTTCGACTTTGGCATAGTGGTATAAGTGTAATGACGAGATAAACAGACAAGACATTAAAGACCTCAACATGGAAAACGAAGGAGTGACAATATATCCAAACCCAGCAATCTGCGCGTATAGTTCATGGTATCAAAAAGAAAAACAAAATCAAACAAAATTAAAAAGCAATACACCCCACCCTCAGCATTTCAGCATCTCACCATCCACATCACTCTACTTACTCCATAGTTTTAATTACCACCGGGAAAATCCATACTCCTCATCGGATTCCCACAGGGCTTCGGAATCGGAACAGCCCCAACAGGCGCCTCACCCGGCGCCGGACCCATAAACTGATGCGTCAGATGATGGATGTTACCCGGTGGAGCCGGGATAGGAACAGGCGGGTACATCTGCTCCTGTCCATGTGTATATGCAAGGCCAGGAGTCGGCGGAGCAAAGGGAGTCGGCGGAGCAAAGGGAGTCGGCGGAGCGAAACCCGCAGACATCGGCGCAGGTGCAGGAGCAGGCCACCCACCCTGGTGTGTCTTGGGGGTAGCGTTTTGGACGCGGATGGGAGGCGGTTGGAGCTGGAAGGTCGGCTGGGGTCTTGTTGGGGAGCGCGGGGTTGCGTATTGGATTGTGCGGTCGTCGTGTGGGCCGGCGCCGACGCCGTGCTCGCCGTTTTCGGCGGCTGAGTAGGGGTCTTGCGGTTGGGAGGAGACCCAGGGGGATTTGGGGGTTTGGGAGAAACCGTAAGGAGTGCCGGGACCGAAACCTGGGGTATTCGGGGCGGACTGGAAGCGCTGTGCGAGGTGGAGTTGGGAGCGGGCCTTCTCACGATGGTCCATGGATTTAGCGAGTCGTCGCTTTGTGATGAAGCGGTAGAAGACGACGGCGTAGATGAGGATGACGAGGACCTCGATGACGATTTCGATAATGGCGCAGACGAGACCCCAGTCCTGGAGACGGCAGAGGAGAGCGTAGTCGATTTCCTCATGGAAGAGCTTCTCTCGCAGGTTCTGGTTGCAGGACCATCCCCACATGTCCTGGCCGTCGCCGTTGGCTTTGGAGGATTGGTAGATGGCCGCGGAGACGATCCACATGATCATGCTGAAGAAGAAGAAGCCGATGGAGAATAGCGTGCCGTAGAAGGCCATCTTCTCGGCGCGTTTGTGGCCACCCCGGAAGTAGCCCCAGAAGACCATTACACAGGCGAAGAGGGAGACGCATGCAACAACCAGGAGGAGGTACTGGGCCCATGGGTTTGTGCCTTCTGCCCAGGCGGGGAGGTCATTGCGAGAAGGGAGAGCTTTTGTTGCGTTAAAGACGGTCAAGGTGGTTGCCAGGATTGCGAGGACGATGAGACTGCAGCCAAAGTTGATGAAACGGAGGAAGATTTTGGCTATCCGGACACGCAGTTTGATTTTCTTGGGAATAAAAGTGAGCTAAGCGCTTGTTTATAGTTGGGTTTTGTGTGTGTATACTTACCACGTCTCTGGCGTTCTCCTTGTCTGTGAGTTGATCATGCTTCTCGACGAAGAACTCTTCCCGAAATGTTGGACTCAGAGGGTTTAATGTGCGTCCTGGTGTCCCTGGCCCCTTCATCGCACTCTTGAGGGGCGAACCCGGAGGAGGCTGGTGATGCGACGCAT